GTTGCATCTTGTGAACTGGGCCCCGTAAGAAGCTTCTCTGGTCATGTTGCACCTTTGGAACTTTGGAGATCGTGTTTTTGCTTTTTTTTTCTCTCAGTGGGTCTGAACCAGTTTACATAAATCCCTGCCGCTTCCGATCGAATTCTGGAAGAGTTTCCAAGGACGCCGCACTTTACGCCTGCTTATTGCTTTAAAAACCAAAGGCCATATGAGGCAACCCATGAGTCTTGCAGGTGGACCATGGCCAGCCGAGTTTTCATCCAAGGCACCAGGGCGAGATGATCAGCATCACACCTGAAGAGATGCATCTGAGATACATACCCCAGGGCCCTAGGGATCCTTTCGTACCTTCTGAGAAGGTACGACTGGACCCTCCAAACCTACATAGCAGTGTCTCCAATCACTTTCTCGGAGGGTATGTGGATGCATAGGGAAAATTGTCTTTTAGACCATCCAATGGGTGTCCTGGCTGGACTACCCTGCACGACCTAAGGATCTCCATTGGACATCCAAATACAGAAAAAGCAGCCTTTGTAGAGAAAGTCGCCGTGTACTGGATGGTTGGATGATGTTGGATGGTGTCTTCACATGTCCTCACTTACCATCCATAGCTGGGTGTGTTCTTCTGGTGGTTCATGAGTGGCATGAAATCGATCCGAAAGGCCTTCGGCTGCCGTCCAGCTTTTGGGTGGTGGAGTGGACTTGAATCGTGCATGAAAGACAGATCGGTCTGGGAACGTGCGTGTGGCACGTTCAAACTCTACGGGGTCTATTCCATTACCAGGGCCCATGTGGATGATGATGGTTCAGTTGCAGGCCTTCTCTCTAAAAATGATGATCATTGTTGTTCCGACTGACCTTACAGGTCAGTCGGGACACTGGATGTCCCACCCGTGCGGCGGGTTACGGCGGGTTCCGTGGAACCCACCCACCCGTACGCTGTGGCGACAACCCGATGGGACGGCGCCCCAGCGCCCCCCAGAATCCAACGGGTGACGCCAAAGCACGAGTCTTCGATCCTTGATGTGCCTACCAGGATCATCCTGTCTGGGTGTCCTAGACTACCCTACCCTACTTACAGGTCTCCAGACAGGGCACCTGTTGGAAGTGCTAGGTACCTGCCACTCCTTTTCTTGCCAGGTACCTAGTAGGAGAGGTCTGACTCACAGAAAAACCACAGGCCTGCAGTAAAACCCATCAGCCTCGAGAGCCACCCTCCTTACCTTCAAGATCATCTACAGGATTGCAAGTAGGATTCTTTACATGCTTCTACTCACCCAAGAAAAATCTTCCACTTTTCACTCCCCTCCTTTTGCTTCTGCTTCTCTACTGATCTTAGCCAGGCCCCTTCAGGAGTTCCGTCAGTTACACTCCCTGGAACTAACATGGCTACGTGGATGGCATGGCCCCAAGTTCGGAAGACCATGAAAATCCACTACCAAACAGCTGCGTCTTTCCGCTTCCATGTGAGTTCGGAGCTACGGGTGCTTTCCCGAGCTCTTCTCAACCGGGCGCCGTTCTCCCGCCTTTGGGCTCGGGGCGGACATATTGCCTGGCGCCGCTCGAGCTGGACCGTCGGCCCCGCGGCGAGAGTGGGATGCGAGCGGTGCGTGCAACGAAGTGATGGCACAATTCGAAGCATCACATGAGTTTACATCACACGAGTCTGCGAGGATTTTTGTTTTGGGGGGAACATCACAGTTTGTTGCAGGGCGATTTCGGTAGTGGCCTAGAACAAGGTGCCTAGTTTTTGACCTATAGCCTATACTAATTACTAAGCTCAACATTCCTCCCAGCCGGTGTTGTTTCACATCGAGTTTCAATTTACTTTGGCACTAAAGGTTTTGGGTCGAATGCAAATCTGGCTGCTGTAGCGGCTACAGGTGATGGCTCTTCCAGAACATGCTCACCACTCTTCCAGAAAACTGCCAAAAGTCTGCTCCGTCGGCCCCATCCCAACTCTGCGTACCTGTCAAAGAGTCCGCCGACCCATCGTTCTCCTGAGAGTCACCCAATGAGTCACCCATGGGCATCTCTTGGCCGAGGTTGCAACCCTACAAAAGATGAATTCAAAGGCTCATAAAGTCCAACAATATCCACTCCAATGCAACAAGAAGGATAGGAAGTGATGTCTGTTTCATGTCTGTTTCTCCCTTTCCTCACCTGCTCAATGTCCACAGATCCCCTATCCTAAGGTCCTATTTGCTAATTCAACTCTCCGTTCCCACCGAAGAATTACACAAACACCATTGGCTCATGCTGCAGCATGCTGGCGAGCCGGCTGCTCGGCAGTTTGGCTTCTCGTGGCCCCCCATCCCCAGCAAGTCACACAGAGTCCCCAAATCACCACTGAACATATAGCTTTTCAGTGGTGATTTAGAGCTCTATATAACATATTGTATATCATATAACTTGTTTAGAGCTCAAAAGGGCATACCACACTGTTTGTTCCATGAGCACACCATAACAATCCGAAGATTGAGACCATTGGGCCTCAAAACGGTCTGGAATCTCCAGCAACTACCGCCCGAATTCTCCAAACAGAACCCCCATGGGTTTCCAGGCGAGCCCACGTTTTTAGAATGATGCGTGGAAAGCCACGAATTGCGCTCATGAAGCTACTTGGCACCCTAAGCCTCAAGCATTGTCCGAGGTAAATGAGACCTCTCATGCTTTCCAAGCCACTGGCCCAGCTGTCGATGTTGGCTAAGCACTCATCAGCACCTGAAATGCACATGTGTTTGGGGAAAAGTACGGAAATTGAACAGAAGCCTGCCCCAAAACCCAACATGTCGCCCCGGACGGTGGTCCTCTTCCTTCTTTCACCACTGGTTTGCTGGGACTGGGACCTGGTCTTTTAGTGGCAGCCATGTGGCAACAAAGTGGGAGAGGGAAAAACCCCAAAATGCCACGACCTCCGGCAGCTTGTCACGACCTCCGCCCAGCTGCTTGACCACTTCCTTCGCCCGCCACTCCCGAGGCCGATCGGATCCGCCAAGGCGCAGGAGGCCGGTTGAAGCTCCCCAGCCGCTCGGAGCTTCGTGCCGCCCGAGTCGGCCATGACCGCTTGCGCGATCTGCTCCTCAGCTCGGTGGGACCGACGCGGTTCGGGGTGGAGAGGCGACCGTTTGGGAGAAGCCAAAGCAACAAGAGGTGGAAGAAGCCTTATAGTAGACTATGCCATGGGCACTTAACCCCAGACTAACCCTATATCCTACTAACCCTATAGACTATCCATAGCTACCCCACTCAATTCCTATAAGGTCACTTAACCTCTCTTGGAAGGCCGGGGGTCCAGGTGAAAAAGGGGAGTGATCCAGTTCCCTGGTCCCTGGACATATGTGTATTTTGGAAACTAGAAGGGGTTCAATCTGCAAACATGAATTCACAAAATGTGCCAAATGAAGCTGAATCCAAACACCTCTGGTGATTTGTGGCTGTTCATGTCACCGTGTCAAGTTTGGCTGGCAGGTGCTTTGAATTGTCATCTATTGTCTTCAGTGTCATCCCACTGGATTTTGATCTTTGACTAGCAGCCAGTGGCCTCATACCATGCCTCAACCGCTCCTTGAAGGCTCCTGAAACGCAACCTCCCACGCCAGGGCACATGGTTCTCCGCGTACATCTTGATGAGCCTCAAACAAACCAAAGGGACCTGATGACAGGTGCACCAACCTGAACAAGGGATCTGGCAACAATTGGTAGATCTTCGTACACTCCGTGAGCTCCTGGATTGCTGAAGAAACTCAGTTTCAACCATCTGGTTTCGGAGCTTGCCATTAATTCGTGAATCAGCAATGCTTTAGTGAACAAAAACGGCATCCCACTCCTGCCTGAAGCATGGCTCTTAGGTAGGTCTAGTAGTTGACAGTTGGACGGTAGGCCGCGTGTTTTTCTTGCGCTTGATTTTTTCGATGTTTTTTTGCATCCCACCTCCAGGTCTTCGTTGCATTGCACAACAATAAAACATATCTCAGGTTGCATGCATTGCACAACAATAAAACATATCTCAGATTGCACATAACATGATGCTAGCTCATCGTATCTGAAACATATCTCCGACTGCACATAACATGATGCTAGCTCCTCGCATGTGAATTCAAGTCACCAAATGGTTGCTATGTTGCGCTCTAAATTGTACCCTTGGGTGGAGAATTTCCACGTTTTTGCCATTCGCCAAGTTGATGCTACGTTGGGTATGGATTGGAAGTTCTCTGATGTCTATAGACTTGCTTACTTGCAACAACAACACGTACGACATGGACAGTTGCTGACGGTCAGAGCTGCAAATTGTTGGGGTGGGGGGTGGGGGGGTGGGGCCAACATAATGACGTCGGTCTACATCGTCGGCCAACATAATGACGGTGGGGCCAACATAATGAACGAGCTGTGCAAAGTCGCTAAGCAAAGCCGGTGAGTGCCAAAAAAAGTAGCTTTGTGATTTCGCAAAGCGTGGAATTTGCAGTTGCATCTTTGAAAATGATAGTGGCGCTGCAGCGCCGGCCGCATGTTCAATTAGACGGTCCTCACGAAACGCCACTGCCTACCGGGGGTCGTGCACCTAGTAGTTAGATGTAGTTAGTAATTGGCCAGCTGGTTGCTGTTTGTATGTCAATCGTTCATGCAGATGAGGAATGCACCAAGGACTCCATCCACCTCTTCTCCTCGTAATACGTGCTTCTGATGCCTCTGAAATACGCGTTCAACTTGTAGTGTTAAACTTGCAGGTACGGTCTTGGGCCTACAAACACCCCCTTTCATTTCAAGTCTCTCTCACAAAATAGTCCTGAAAACCTCTTTGGACCCTCACCAGGTCTTCAAGGGCAGACAAGCTGCTGGCGCAGCTGCTGCTTCCGCCAAGCTAAACACCTAGGCTACCACACTCAAAAAACCGGACTTCGTGCGTGCGGTTCGCTGCTCTGCAATCAAAAAAACCTTGTATAGCCCAAACATTATGTATGGAATAGATGCCTACACTGGCTTCCTTTTAATCCACCTCCCGTCCTCCCGTATGCAAATATGCCAGTCCCAGCTATAGTTGGGGATGTGTCCACCCACTATGCCATTCCGTCTAGCCCGCGGCGCGCTCGGCAGCTTGGGAGGACCGGCAGAGATGAAGAAGCATCCCCCGACACGAACGAACAAGGTATATAAAATACTGCAGCATATTCTGAGTCTTGTTGGCCATCCGACATGGATGTGACATGATTTCACTATACATGACTTCCACTTCAAGTGGGAGCCTTCAGGGCCTTAAATGAGAACTCGCACGCTCACCTGCCACCCCTTCCCCCCCCTGATCCACTGTTTGCGCACGTACCCGGCACGGACCGTGGCGGGATTCATCGACCGTTTGCTGCGCGCGTTGAACCGCCGTGGCACCGGGTGCGGCCCGTGTCGAAGGTCTCTCTCATCTCCTCCAACATCTCCCCATACTGCGTGGTGAGCTCCTGCAGAAAAGCGCGAGGCAAATCACATGATGTGTGTGTGTGTGTGTGCGCCCCTCGAAGTCACAGGGATCCACTCGGATTGTACTCATTGTGCTCTTCGTTTTTAAGAGCTGGTTTGTTGGGTTCGAGAGACGCTCGTGGGAACCCAAACAAAGCACTGCTGGTTGTTGCGCCATCTTGAGCCGGACGGGCAGGGTAGGTGAAACACCTGCGAGCCCAGCTCGACCGGTGTCATGACATGTGTGACACAAAGGCAGTGGTCGACCGGCTTTCTCGCAACTAATTGTCGATTCAATTGAGATGAGATATTATGATGATGATGATGATGATGATGATGATGATGATGATGATGATGATGATGATGATGATGCTGATGCTGATGCTGATGCTGATGATGAAATAACACAGCAAACATCAGAAAACACAGGTTTGCTGCCTGAGTTCCAGATCCTTCCATCACAAACCGAAGTTCCCTCGCTGCGGTCCATTCCGATCCTCCACGCTTTGGACCGGCGCCATCGGTGCGGTGCGGCGAAGGCGCCCAGGGGCCGTTCTGAACCGCTGGCTGCGGCATCCGTAAAGTGCGAGGCTTTGAACATGGAAGTGGAACACTTCAAACTCCGGGACTTTCGCGAAGGGGCCGTTCTGACCCCAATCAACTTGCAGCGTCAAAACGCAGCTTCAAAATGATCCCAACATCCTTCAAACGAAGTCGGCCCAACCTGTAACTGACATAAATGACAACCGTAAAGCTGCGAGGCGCCCCTACAAGACTTCAAGACCACCGCAGAAACGCTCATTCCAATGAGAAACGCGCTGTGAGTGTCACAACAAGAATTCTGATGCCAAATCCTTCAAGATCCCGAAATCAAGCCCTCAACCATTCCCACATCAACATGATCGATAACATGAATCTACATCGACCGGTCCTGATCCCAGCTCTCTTTTGCTTCAACGCGATTCTCACCGTCCTTCATCGACGTCCAGGCGTGAGGTGCGCGGATTGCGGAGCAAGCGAGGGGAGCGAGGCAGCTGCGACCTGCATCGAGGCAGCCGGCAGCTTCACCATTTAGCATGAGAACCCACCGTACGCGCTTCTTCCCAACAGAATTCAATGGTTACACTCGGAATTGCACCAGGAAAAAAAAAACACACGGAACCTGAACATAGACCATTTTGAAGACGATTTTCCTCTGCAAGCTAGTGGTTTTCAGGTTCTATGTCAATCTTCCAGGGCGTATCATTATGTATCGATGGATTTCATGGTCATCCGAACGCAAGGCCATGCCGCCATGCCATCACGCATCCATGATGATTCGAGGGGGTGTACCCCAGCTGTTTCTTCATATGATTTCATGGAGCCTGATCCGGTTGGAGGAGTCAGGGATGCTGGAGGATCTGCCTAACGATCCATCATACATGGAAAGTTTACCTAGCTAGTAAGTATCCCAGACACGACCCATGGGACTGCCATATATGCCGATCAATTGGGGTGGTTTGGGGGGGTCAATGTAGGCATATGGCATACATGGAGTGTCTGGGTATAGTACAGAAAATGACCGGTAACAAAATCTTGAAACTATATACTCCAAAACCTACCAATCCCCGTAGAGTGTCTGGGAGAGCTTCTGTGGGTGTGGGAAACTATTGGTGATGAACCCATGGTGATTGGGATCTGTATCCTGACCGTCCCAAATCCTCCCACCGACACAGGTCGAAGCAAACCCACCTAGGCATCTCCAGCAGGGACACCTGTTCCTGGCTTTGAATCCAATGCCGTAGTGCCGCCCCACCGGCCGACGAGCGCTCACGAGGCCTTGGAAGGACTTCTTGGAGCAGGTGGTGCGGCAGCTGTGTCGTAGGTTTCTGTGGTGAAACTGTTTTTCAACTTTCCTTTTGGACCAAGGAAGAACTTGGGCCGTCTAGAGTCTAGATCCTCATCCCCAAAAATGGCAATCGCGGATAATTAATTAATCGCGGATGTTTTTGGGTGGGTGGATCTATCTGGAATCCGGAACTTCATGTCCACCTGCTCTATCCTGAAGGGTACCCCTTCTATAACGTGGATGATTTTCTGGTCAACAGCTGTTCCCGAATCTTTTCGTGGATCCCTTCCCAGGACGCTCGCCATGTCCTTCCGAGTCTTTCCTTCGAGACGATCTTAAACGCATCCGAGGAACTGTTCTTCCAAAGCGATCCTTAGATGGCAGCTGTTACTCCAGTCCGGGGCAATGAGATGTGAAATAGGACGAAGTAAGAACAACCCACCCAGATCTCATGATCCTGCCAACAAGGTCGTATCACTTGACACCAAGACATCGCGCCTGGTGGCATTATTGCTAGAATAAACTTCGTGACCAACCTAGCATGATCAACCAACACTGGGACACACAAACAATCCACTTGCGAAGGAACTGGGCCCACTCCAGATCTGGGGATAGTATCCCTGCTAAACTGAAACCCGTTCCTGGTTCCACTACGATTCTCCTTGGTGGGTGCTAAACGGCGCTAAAACCACCACAAATCGCACACAAACAGAAAGTACAACAATTGTTCAAAATAACAGTTTGTCGTAACTCAACACCGTTGCCTGTTAGGTGTGATCCATCCGTCACTGCTACTTCCCTGAACCAGAAGTAACCTCCAGCACTTACATGCATGCTAGCCAATCTGCAAAAAACCATTGCTTCAGAATGCTTCAGAGAAGGGTTGCCTTCAGAGCCACAAGCTCCAAGGAGATGTCCAAGTCTCTCAAACATCTCCTCCCAGTTCTTCCCAGTCACCATAAATGTTTTGCCTCGGGGGCGGCATCCAATTGTTGCATCACTCACATCTGGGAACCTGCCCTTGAAGCGTCTGCATTGGAATTGCCTAATAAGAGCTCGGACTTGCACGCTTGAAGCATGGGCCAACCCTCTTCCACAACCACTCGGAATTAACACACACACACACACATATATATATAATTATATATATATATATATTGCTTGCCAACTTACGGCCTAAGTCAGCCAAAGAAGTTCCGCCGAAGAACATCAAGTCCGAAGAGCAAACAGCTGGTGCCATCCACGGAAACATGACGATTACGCGATACACAGGCAAGAGCAGCACCACTTAGGCGGAGATCCTGTGCGAACCCTCGTGGTACCGTATCGTGCGGCAACGATGTGGTTCCAAACCTGCAAATACGTCAGCGTACCAGTCCGACGTTATTGGCATGTGCCCTGACGGCGGTGTGTCAGGATGCTCCCAAATTGCCTTGCATCAACAAAACCCACACCAAGGTCCAACCATTTTTTGAAGGCAGGAGTGGTATGAGGCTGCCTTTTTGCCTCAACATCTCTGAAAGAATTCGGCAGATTTGTCAAGAAAGGTTCGTTTGTGTACGGAGTCACCCTTATTTTGAGAACGAAGAGACGGACGGTGACCTCGGCAAACAAACGACCGTCTCAAGAAAAAACGTTTTGGCGGGGACATGGGACTTAAATTACTGCCACTCTGTCGCAGAAGCTGTAAGTTCTCCACGATTCTTTGCATATCATATCATATCATGTCGATGTCAAAAAAGCGTCCGATGTCGTTCGCAGCCGTCTTTTTAGGTTCCAGGGAGCTTTCGCATCCCTGTTGGCTATGAGGGTCTTTTTGGGGGTGTTGGGGATGTTAGGATCCGAAGGCTCCAAGGCTTCGGTGTCCGATTTCAGGTCCTTTCAGGTCGTCGAGTAAAGGCGGGTGTTCCTTTGGTCGTTGGCCAGGCCGACCAGGTTCGTGCGCTAGCCTTTAGGTTCACACCGCTCGTGGGCGTATACGATCGTTTTTTTCCGTATACCTGGACCCTCGACAGTACCCATGGAACATGACCAGGTACTTGTATTCATTTTCCGAGGTACGAACTGAGACTCCAGGTACGTATGCTTGGTCATGATACGCGTAGAAGCGGGTGGCAAGGATTTGGGAGCAAGTTCTTGGACACCTTGGAAACGTGGTTTCATCTATAACGTGAAGTTTCTTCAGAGATGTTCAAGGTATGTTTGCAAACAAGATGCGGAACTTGGAGAAAACCCTTCTGACGCTGAGGCAACATCAGGGATTCCTGTGGGTGAGTAGCCCCCAGCTCCACCATAAAGGGTTAATAGCCGATCCTTGTGGTCACAAATTCGGGGCATCCCAACCCAGGGAATGGTATCAAATCAACCTATCAAAGCCTTGACCAACTTTGCATTCTCAAGAAGGTTGATCTTGTTTCATGCGTCATGATGTTTAAAACCCTGGCCCTCGAAACAAGAATGGGATTTTGATGGATTTTGCATGTCGCGTCACTGAATCCAATGGCAGGAAAACCAGCCGGGAAACCAGCCAGTCCAATGAAGCACAACCAACTACAAGTTCTACTTCCACACAGCCACAGCCATGCTGTTGGCCGCACCTTGATGAGGCCCTCAGGCCCCAACTGGCGCCCTCTGCTTGGAATACCACCACTGGCATCCTGTTCGGGGGGGGTCTTTCCACCTGACCAGGCTTTGGGAATGCGGAAATTCTGCATTCTCCCTTTTGTCTTTGAGCGGGCTTCGTCTGAAGCCAAGGACAGATTGAACATCGCGACATGCCTGGCTCAGTCGTCGAACGGGTGAACATCTGGACAATTTCCCGGTTGACATACACCCCGGAAGCTTAATTGACATGGAACCAGCTGGTGAGGCGAGTTGTGCGGAGATGCCGAGCAGCCTCATTGGCTGGTTTAGGTATATGTAGAGGGGTACGCCATGGAAGAGACCCACATGGAGCCTGAAATCCACTGGGTTTTCTAAAGGTCCATTCTCAGGTCCACCTTCACGCCAGCTGGTCCACGAGAATCTCGTGCCCGATGTTCACCGGTGAATCCAAGCCATTCCGCTGAGCATGAAGAGGGACCCAATGCGAGGCACATGAGAACTTCCGAGAAGACCAGTGAACACATGGGAACGACCTGGTTTGGTATGCAAAATCCGTAAAACAATGGTGGTTCGGTATTCAGCCCATTACACACTGGACATTTAACATGGAACCTGAAACCCACGAAGTTGTAGAGGAAAAAATCGTCTTCCAGTCTGGTCCATGCCATCAGGTTGCATGTGGGTCTCGGGACCCGGGTGTAAATCAAGTAGTGCGTTGGAATCTCAGGGGGGGATGGAAGAGTCACTCCCGATGTGTCGACCATGGACGGACTTGCTGGTCGCGGCTGGAGCTGGGGCGCAGCCGCAAGTGAATGAACGCGCTGGAGCCGTTGAGCTGGAGTCAGGAGCACGGTGAACCAAACGATCCAACTGTTTTGGTGGAGAAACATGGAGAAACACAGTCCTACATGGAGACATGTGGAGACTCTACACGGAGAAACCACTTCCCCAAAAGGCCTAAAAGCAGAGTCTCCACATGTCTGCACTGTTGCTGGTATGCATGTGAACAAGCCGGAAATACATTCGCTGAGCTGCTCTTCGGCATGTAGGCGATACCATTGGCCACGTGGAAGCCCAACTTCTCCTGTAAGTCGAGAAACTCAAAGGGACTGCTGTGAGCGTGATATCTTTCCAAGATTAGATCATGATGCTTCATGATTCATGATGTATGAACTGAAACTCCTGCCTGGCACTGCCTGCTCAGTTCAAAGAGGCATGATCAATCAAGACCTGTGTTTTTTTTCCGATCATCCCCTGCCAGCCACGAATCCCCTGCCAGGAATCTTCTTGGAAAAAAAGGGGGCTCATGAAGCTGGACGCTGGACCAGTCAACACGAAGAGCTTGGCATGTTGAAGCCTACCTGGATCTTCCAACTGTGCAGAATTGACTCCCCTGCTCTTCGGACCACATGGAATGGAATCCCAAGACCACGTCGGGTTGGTACTCGGAAAATGGTCGAAACCACCGATCAATTCTCAGTGCTCAGGGTTCCATGTGGTCCGTTTGCGGGAGGATATGCCTCTTCATGTGTTGAAACATCTGTTTGGCATTCTCTGCGCCAAGTCGGTGGAACATGGTGGGCATCTGGGGAAGTGCTCACGGTCTTCCTCTGGAAGCACCACGAAGATACCAAGAAAGCCATGGAGATCAGCCGGGTCTTGAAAAGCTGAGGATTCATGTCAAAAACATTATCCCGCTTTGAAGTCAAACCACCAATTGATTGAACAGCCTAAATCCCCAACAACCATTGATTGACATCATAAGGATTTCACACTAGAAAACCCGATCAACCAGGAACGGACTTCCAGGGTATCACGAAAAAACAAATCACCATCATACTTGGTTGAAAAAAAGACGGCTGCCCCGGATTCGAGGTCAGGCGGTGAATCGCCGAAACGACATCGACCTGCACTGTTTTCAGTTCCATCTCCTGCCCTAATTGATCCCCAAGGCCATCCAGGCTGAAGAAGCCTCACCGCCAGCAGGCGCAGCGATGGAAAAAACACGTCCAAACCCTTTCCTCGCGCGATCGAAGTCGCGGAAGCTCGGAGCTCAAAAACGGCACCACTTTCCTTCCTTCCTCCACAGCTTCCGATGTTCGCTGAGGGTTTCTTCACCGACCCCCCCAGGTATACGCAGCTATACCGCATGGAACCGTGACCTGTGCGACCTCCAAACGCCCTTCACCCGAGTCTTACGAAAGGGTTTCTTCCGAGTCTTGGCTAAGAATTCTGCACCCAGCAACGTCCGGCATGACGATTCTGAACAAATGCTTGCCCTAGGGATCCAAGTACCTTCTCAGAAGGTACGGCTGGACCCTCCTGGCACCTACATAACAGTGCCTCCAATCACCGCACCTGAGAAGGTACTTGGATCCACAAAGACGGCACAAAAAGAACCCACCAATCTGAGGTGAAGCGGCAGGTGCATTCATAAGTCTTGGGATCAATGCCCAACACCCAGCGGCTCCTATGCGAGGCGATGTCAAACATGAACGAAGAAGTGGTTGGATGATGTTGGATGTGGTTTAGTTTCAACCATGCCTGGAAAGACACACTTCCGAAAAAAAGTAAGGTCACCACCACTGAAACGACTCAAAACGACTCAAATGCCGGTCTGAAGCTTGACCCAAATACCGTTTGGGATCTTTAAGTACTTTAAGTGGTAACAGTATACTGCATGGAATTCATGCCAGGAAGTTCACTCAGAATCCGGGAAGCATGGCATCATGCTGCCATAACCCTTTTGATTCTCCAGGCGAAGCGGTCGGCCGGATCCCTCGACGCGGAGGCCTGTCGCATCCGCTAAAAGGGTGACCGAGGCCAAACACCAGACCCCGTCAATACATGAGACTCTGGAGGCCCGCAAATGGAGGTGGGGGGGTCCATCAGTTGGTTGGGGGAACATCTGCGGGAAAAATGCCTTGGTGTTCACCCCCCTAGCAGCTATGTCTTTCCTGCAGATGTTCACTGAAGCACTTCTGGGAGTATACAGGATCGCCAAAACAGCCGCATGTGATCCAGCTGGTGATCCATGCTGTCGATCACGCGCCTCTCTCCGTCTTAATGAATCTTCGGTGTGGCTGCAAGCAAGCGTTCTGTGGTGCAGGCCAGCGCCAGAAACCCAAGACCGATTAAAGCGACTTAAAGCTCCGAGTCTAGCTGCCTTTGTTTGTCCCCATGAAGCTCCAGGTTGGCTCGCCTGACGTGCCTTGATCCATTCCCGCTGCCCGTCCTGTAGAGGTTCCCGAAGAGCACGGGGCCCAAGTCTGCGAAGTCCTGGTGTCCAATGGTGTCCATGCATGGAAGCGGATAGCCCCTCTCAATACAGGACAAGCAGTCTTGAACGAAGGGAACGCCCTTTCCTTTTTCCACTTTGGAATGTGAGAGTGTAGCCCAACAGTTCCCACAGAAGTCCAGGCATCTCCCCAAATCCTGCCAAAAAAAAACGTTTCCCAACATCAGCCACCTTTCACGCTGCGCCAAGCGCACTGTTGCCCGATCCATTCCTTCGACGGCCACCACCCATGGCCATGGGAACGCGGTAACCTGCTACCTTCTCAGGTTCAGTACGACTGGGCCTGACCCTGGCGCCTACATCAGTATACTATCACTATCTAATCACCTTCCCAGAGTCTGTGGCTCCATTGACCCTGGCCCAGTCTGTGGATCCATTTTTGTTGGGGGGGCTCTCTAAGACCTCTTTTTACGTGGCCACGAAGTCGTGTATGCGGGGGCTGTTGGCATCGAGTACACTGAGTACACCAGCCCCTTCCGCCAAAGGGAGAACTCCCTCGGCGATCTCGGTGGGCACCCAATGCAGCTTGAAGTCTCCCAGTTTACACTATAATCACTGGAAGTAACATGGAAGTGGACAGTGGCCCCCGAGTTCGGAAGATTACTTTCCGAATACCAAGAGGGGGTTGTCCACTTCCATGATTGTTGCAGGGAGGGTACTTGATCTTCCCACTTCCACGAAGCAAACATCTGGACTCTGGATCGATTCTGTGCCTATGCCGGAAAATGCGACCCCTGAGCCAACCCTTTCCCGCCTCCACATACTCCAGTTCGTTCATTCCGGCGACCTTCGCACCCATGCAAGTCACGGGCTTGGCCTCCTCCTTGGGGCTGCGCAGGGGCTACGCCTCTGCCATAATACCTTGACCAATCCCCCTTATCACCCTGGCCCAACACTAAGACCTCTCTGCATCACGGATCAAACTCTCATAAACTCTCCTAAGTCACAAAAACCCATCCTCTCCGTCTCTCGCCGAGATGCCAAGGCCAAAGATTCGCTGCTCAGCCGCATCATCTTCTCCGTGCCGTCCGTTGCCTTATAAGGATCAAAAAGCACTCCATGGGGACTGGAATGCAAAATGCATGACATTGAGCCCCCAAACCACCCCAATTGCCGATGTAGGCCAAATCTTGGTAGTGTCTGGGTTGGAAACTAGCTCGGAATGCCTTCGGCACTGCCGAAGCCCACTGAGAATCGTGATGGGTTCGCCTTCTGGCCCGCCGCGTCAAGGACCGAAGGTTTCGAAGACAGATCCGACCATCCACCGTGCCGAACCTCAGGTTCGGTACGACTGGACCCGACATGGCAGTGTCTCCGTCCTCGCCTTCTTAGAAGGTGCCAGTGGATCCATAGGGAATGGAACTGGAAAATTCCAACCGAAGAATCCGGACCCTCAAATGGGAAGGGTTTGGGAACCGGGTTTGGGAACGCTAAGAGGGAGAAGGTCCGACCCCTGGTCGAAAGGTCGGGTCGAAAGATGTCGAAAGATTCTGAGGGTGGGGTGGTATATGTAAATATGTCATACATGGAATCCAGAGGTTAATAAATCGGAAGTCTGCGCACCATTGGCTGATGTGAGTCTTGAAATGTATAATATATATGTTTGTGTGCATTTCGTTGCCATCCCCCATCCCATTACCAAGTAGGATGCCTGCAATAGGGCGTTTCAAATTGGGGGAAACAATCCTGAGTTGGTGAGTGTATAATGTATTAGGATGATATCATTAATCCCTATGGATCCACATACCTTCTCAGGAGGTGATTGGATACTATTTATGTAACATCCAGGAGGGCCCAGTCGTACCTTCTGAGAAGGCGGCAGTGGATCCCTAGAAAATTAGTGATCTAGTAACTAGTATATATATAGTCGTGTCTCAGTCAGTTTGGGGCCACCTCTTCAGAACTTCTCAGGGTAGTTCTGGCCCCCGACAGTCGGTTTTCGGGAACACAACAACATGGTGTAATGTTCACTCCCAAGTGTCTCATTCGACCCGGAAAAATGGTTTTCCTATGCACATTAGTCCATGTGAGTGTTCCACGGTTTGGATTATTTCTGCATGATGTCCACTGACAAGCAAACCTTCCTGAATCCTGTGTCCCTCTCGCTCCAAGATCCTCTGTGAGTTGCCATGTTCCTCCGGAGAATTATGCAGCTTCTTGGATGGTCGTGGTCTTTTGACTAATTATCACTTGACTGGATCATCTAAAATTGGTGGGGTCTAAATCAACATCACCAACATCACTCCCTCCTCAGTTCCTTCTTGCCGGCCTTTTCAGCGAAAACCATGCGCAGGGCAAAAAGCACGTCTTGGGTCGGGCGGGCGTGGGTGGCCGCTTTCCGTCCGTACACTGCAAGAATAACACCTGTTCAGTTTGAGAAAGCAGCTGGCTACAGCAATGGTGGCTGGACCCCAGTCATGTCTTCTCGATGTCCCTCTATACCTCCCAGTTCGACACTCTTTCCAAGAGGGGGAAATAGACCAGTCTACCCAGCCAGGGTCATACGGGCTCTCCCCTTCAAATTTACATCCAAAAACAATCCAAAACAAGTTGGATGCGGATCCAGCTCGCCTCAACCTTGTCCAAATGGATTTGTTGCACCAACTCTTCGTCTCCCTCAGTGCCGGCCACCTCCTTCGCGTTTGGCCAGATCCAGTTTCGCTTCTCGGGGCTTATCGCTGGCCCGTCAGGGGCTCCCCGGGGATCCACACGGTCGCCGCCGGTGACGGTCACAGGGAGTGAGCAAGTCCCCGGTGAGCGTTGCTCGGTGTCGGCACGAAGAAGCCACATGAAGCAACTATAGCCTAGAGCCATCCTAGTTGAATATAGTTGAATACTGCTGAGCAAAGTGTTGTAAATCTGTATTTTTAGCGGGTGGTGCAGCGAGTGGGATCCTTCATCAACAACATCAAGGGTTGGCTTACACGATCCGTATGGCTACATCCAGCCTCATCAGGTGGCTGCAGTGGAAGTGAGCTCCAGAACTTCCTCACTCCACCCTCCCGAAATGCGGCCTCCATGCTTCGCGTTTCGACCACTGAGGTCGTGGAGGTCTTGCAACGTGGTGAAACGTGTCTGAATGGAAGTGGCTCTGATTGGTTCTCTGTTTGTCAGAGTGTGCATATGGCCTTGCGTTTCCTGTAGTTTCAATTGTTTGTTGGAGGTTTCAATTGCTTCCAAGGAACATGGGTTTGGAAGATGATGTTTCCCCCTCAGGAGCATTTGTGGTGTAGTGTTTTGCGGTAGAGTCCAAGGAACAACACAAACAGTTTGTCATAATTTGTCCAACATATTAGAAAACCATACTGGCAATCATGCGATTGCCAGTCTTGCACCGTGTAGGCACAGTCCCCTCGACTCCCCTCGTTTGGGTGGTATCACTATGCCATACATGAGCGACCTCGGATGTGGAGTATTATAGAGGCAATCAAGTTGAGAACTATCAAATTAGAAGTGCCTAGCGGTCTTTCAGATGTCCACATCATGTGGCAACATGTTCCATACAAACTTGGGGAATGACTCACTGCTTCTCAAAGCCTGCTCCAGTCTCAGTCCCGAGCTGGCCCTCCTGATGAGCAAAGGCTAGTTCCCATGTTCAACGGCCACTGAACTGAGAACAATCTCAAAAGCTTATATTATAGGGTAGGTAGGAAGGGATGTATAAAATTATCAAACAGTCTTGAGTCATGAGCGAAGATTTTTGAAGGTACCACACCCAAACACTCCATGTATGCAATATTCGCCTACATCGACCCCTGAAACCACCCCAATGTAGGTAAACATGAATGTCATACATCGAGTGTTTGGGAAATGGTACCAGACATCTTTCCGTTTTCGTTATTGTTTCTCTTTTGGGTCCTCTTGTTTCAATGTGAACATTTCGACGTGTTTTGCCGCAGGCTTTTCTGGGAATATTAATTGATCAGTCAATTGATCGAATCATATCTCTGTTTTGACTACATACTTCCTGTCTGCATATTCTAGATTCTAGATCTAGGTGGATCTAGGTGTTGGCACCATCTCGATGTGTTGCAACCCACAAAAGGAGCAAAGAAAAAGGGCGCCCCAGCCGCAACGGATTTCGCGCCGCCGACTCTGCCCGTCCTGGCCCACTCACATGGACACCACTGGCTCGCCGAGGCCCGTCTTCGACGCCCCACCTGGTTCCGCATCGGCCGTGCGCGTTCAGCGCATCCGCATAACACGGACGGAAGCGACGGAGAGGTTTTTTTTTTTTTTTCACTTGGCCGCTTCAACCAGCTGCCCAGAAATGGATGCCCATTCGAAAGAATGAAGACTCTTGACAAGCATTACGAAACCATCATCCATTTGGGGATCTCTTTCAGAATAACTCTTTCAGAATAGAGGCCCTGCATGTCCGACTGTTCGGGCTCCGTTCCATCACCTCTTTCATCCTCTTTCCAACTCTATGCTTTCTTTTCCAGCCACAAAATGCCGTCAGTGTCCTCGCTAAACTTTGCACCATCTTGGAGGCCTTCTTCACCTGCGCAGCGTGTGGCCCATTGTGCATGCCTATGTGAAATGCATGCAAGTGATCTAGTGTGGCATGAAGTTGGGAACATTGGAAGGACAGTGGATAAGTAGCTTAACTCGACTTCTCATTGAACATCAATATAGATATGATTATTATAGCTTCCCGAGAATTGGGAGATCACTAGGTTCCTGAATGCACGCGTTATGGAGTTTAAAAAGGTCGCACTCCACTGCTTCAAGACCCCTCTTGGGCTCCAAAGGTTCCAAGTTGCCCAACTTCTTTGGGACATATATGCCCCAATGATTCACTCAGAAGTCTTTTCCACATCGGGCCACCCCCCGAGTCGAAGCCATATATCCGGCCGTTTCGTTGGTTCGCTTCGGTTGCGGTGTTTCGCCCGTCTTGCGCCTCTTGGGAGGTCTTTTGGCATTGCTTCAAGATGCGACCTGAGTCGGAGGGCGGGCCCGACGTGGTCAGACTCCGGGCGAAGCCGCTTCTCTATTCAGCCGGGCCAGTGGAACTTCAGCGAAGCTGCAGGTCATTCCAGGGGAAAAAAAACAAAAACCACGCAGGGCGGACGTCAATGGATCGATTCAGCACTGGATCATGGACTCTATACGTAAACCAGGCGGCTATTCTCCCGCTGGAGCGCGACGAAATCGATGGGCTTCACGTGACCTGAGTTACGCGCCAGCCGCAGCATGACACTCTGTGAGCATCGAAGGGTTTGGCCAAGGAAAACTTTCAAAGAGCTTCTTGAGACAGTATTCATGACACACAATTAATACAAATCAATTAAATAGTTAAATACGACCAACTCGTTCTCCACCCCCCCAGCTGCCGACCTAGCAAAGCAGTGAAACAAAAGACGCTGCAGGCTCAAGGTCGCTACCGCCGCCGTGAGCCTCAAAACCTATATAGCCTATAGGGCTATAGAAATCCCAGCTTTTGGCTAACTGTGTGAGACTCCCACGAATGGACGCCGTCCTCCACAAGAATCTACTTACTACAAACAAGTCTTGGGGCCGTGTTCCATTGAATTTCTTCAAGTTATAAAACCCTAGGGCTCCAAGTACCTTCTAAGCAGGTGTTTGGGCTGGGTTTGAAGGGTCCAAATACCTTCTGAGGAGGTACGACTGGAGCCCTAGGGAAACTTGTATATTGCAGGCTTCCTTGGTCCGCATGTCCGCACACGAATGCGGACACGCACATGGATTGCTTCATGGTCCTCCTGCGCTTTGGCACTGCAAAAGAATCCCAAACGGTGTGGGTGTCCAAAATGCCAAAGCGTGTGTCAAGCGCTTCGAGGGGGTCCTCCAAAACAACCTGTGAGACTGGTATGATAAGGACTCCTAGATCTCGCCCTTTGGGAAGCTAACCTTGGAACTTCCAACGATCTACTAACGCAAGTCTTCAACAAATCAACAAACATAGATACTTATGATATTTCATGATACCTGATATGTATATATAATATATGGACATATATACAGTTGCATATATTTGCATATGATTCATATGATTGGATATGTACACACAC